CCATCCTGTTGACAGAGTCTCTCCACTCTCTTCTGCTATTGCGATCCCATCTCACCACATCTTCAATGTCGCACTTTGTTCTGATGCCATGGCTTCTAATGCGGACCGGCAAACGGGAAAGTTCTCATCTCTGCTGCTCTGAGGAGTCACTTCGGTGTGGCGATATCTGCCCCGGTCTCGATAGCTCGTCATGATTGATCTCACACAATTCTTGTATATTCTTGTCGTTGTTTCGCCATATTATCTCCCGCAGATAGCCCCATAGCAGCGAAGGTTTTATTGTCTATGTTTTCACTTCTTTCTTCAAGTCCCTGCTGCTTGTTATATTGAACTTAATAAAATTCGTAACTTTAAAACGTTTATAGAAAATACAAATGTGCTCTTCTATGCCGTAATCCTTAATCATTGCAGTACTAAATATATTGTTTTTCTTTTGCTGCACAGTCCATTATTCTAATGTGGGTAACGAATGCAGTAATGTAGGTAGCAACCTAAGCAACGCAAATATTTTATACAAATGGGGGTAACTTACTTTAGTGCAGAAGGTAATAAAATTTGCAAGATTCTCCGGAGACTCAAGGAATGATGATTTCCTTTATGGCGTTCCACTTTGCATCAGTAATTCAACGAACATTTCAGGTTGCGAAATCATTTTCCATAAAAGTATCATAAAATCGGTTAGTTATGCTAAATTATTGTTGTGAAATATATACCAGGCCCTAGTAGCAAAGTTAGAACTTACCGAGTACATTTAGTTACGGGATTTTTTTAATATGTACTTTCAAAATATTCGCGTTTAGATTTTAGTATTGCTATGTTTCCTATTACTCTAAAATAATTACCCGTCGGCGTATTAAGCCTTACATAGTGTGACAGTTTCCTCATTTTCAAAAACAGATCATTGGTTTTATTCTTTGCCAGCTTAGAATTTTCAGTCATAACATGAAAAGTAGAATCACTATTTTGAATATACGATTTAAATATGAAATTTGCCACTATGTATCAGCACCTGTTAAACATTCTGCTAATTTCATAAGAACAAGCAAACTTTTTAAATTTTAATTTGTATATTTTACTTTGGTACATCCTCGCTCAATACGTTAGATGAAAATTAAATTATGGGAATATTTTGAAACATTTTTAAATAAGTCAAGTAAGTAATTTTGCATATGTATGTCGTGGTCTTTGAATAGCGCAGTATCGTTAATTTAATTAATCCTTTCATTTTTAGTTTACTTTAATAGCTTTGTAGTTTTTGTGTTAACAGTTGAATTTTGAATTACCAAATTAATATGTAGCAGCGGATTCAGTTATTTATAGCCTATTATAATATTTTCGAACCCACCTGTCTAATTTTTACAAAAATGTGACACGTTTACAAATAAACATAATTAGTTGTAAAACAGCCTATCTGAAATATTTTGTATCTGAAACACTCCTTATCGGGTGACATAAAAACAAATGTATTGCAGTACTTTTATAAATAACTTATTAAACAGTGACCAGGTTATACCGATTGATAGCAATATTCGAAGCTTCAAGTTTAAAAAAAATGAAGTTCTTAGGTTTACTTACACGTTATTACGACACACCTCAAAATAAGCATAATTTTTATACAAAAACATTTTTGGTTACAATACAAATACAGTTTTTTCGATGTCTAGTACAGGGATCTTGGAAACAACAGCAGATACAAAAAAAGTTAAATGAACAAAGAATTGTAGTTTTGAATGCTCTACTTGAAACCCGTTTTTTTTCATATTTTCAAAATTTGGCAGGTGTCAAAACATATTTGAAAAAAAAATAATTTATTACAGATTTTTAAGTAATTCTTAGGTCACTCACTATTAATCTAGCAGGACAGAATTAAATGGAAACGTTTTAGGAAATTGCATTCCAAATTAAAAGACATAATTTATTGTTACAAATTAACTATCATTTTTAGACATATATAAACTTGTGTTTCATAAATGGAATCCATATTTGATTATTCCTTTATTATATTTTAATCAAACAAGTTTTTTGTATTGAAGTGTGTATTTAATTAATTGAGACCTTAATTTTTTTACGATTTCAGTGATATATTATATCGTTAGGTTTTTTCGAAAATGAAGTGTCTGCAAATTATTTTTATTTTTTTAATGTAGTTGATCGAAGTTAGCCATGGAAAATAGTATGAGACATAAAGCATAGATTCCATAGTAACAAATAATAACAATATGCGTCCATATTTATTTTGACATCTACCTTAAAATTGATAATGACTTTAGTTTGATTAAGACGGCAACTCATGTAAAGTGTTTATAAAAATAAAAACATACTAATAATAATAAAAAATTTACGCAAGAAACTATAATTTGTATTGAAATATATTTTCAAAAAGACCACCATTATTATCAACGCATTTCAGCGCTTTAAAACTGAATAAGTTGCTTTTCTAACTGACCGGCCATCAATATTTTCAAATGTTGCAACAACAGCGTCTTTAAGTTTATTTAAATTGCCATATTTATTTTTATATACAGTGTGACCAGTATAAAATGATATACATGGGGATATTGGAAACCGTTAGAGTTACAGGGTGGACCAAATGGGGAGAAAGTTGCGCAATCAAGTGCCTATAAATAATCTGTCATCAACTTCTTTGAACT